TCCCAGCTGCACTAAATTGGGCAGTGACTGATATAATTTTAGTGGGACTTGAAGCTTAAAGAAAAATAAGTCATTTGGCACATGCACAGCTAAGACTTTGAGAGGGGCCTACGCAGGTGAAAAGCCAGAAACTTAAGCATCACTAGTGTTGTAATAAACCCACCCGAAAAACAGGCTTGGAGGGGTTGAGAAAAGCCCTCAGAATACGGGGGAACTGGAAGGACTTGTGGGGTGGGCCATGTGTTGGGTCAGTCTGAGGATCTTGGTGTGACTGGGGTATGGAAGCCCATCGACAAAGAGAGTGGTGAAGAGCAGCTGGCTTGGGAGGGTCAGAGGGTATGTACAGAACAGAGGGTTGAAAGGGAGTTGCTGTACAATTGAGGAGCTCTGACATTTGAGTCCAAGGAGGGCAGGCCAGGGTCCTCCCAGAATGATGGCCTCTGCAGGGTGCAAAGCATTTGGAGAATGATGGTGAGAGGCCATCTCTCTTGGCACGAACAGAAATAGCACCCTAGCCTCCACACCTATCCCAGGCCCATAGCCTCCAATAAAATATTTCTCTAGGGAATCTTGGCCTCTTCATCCTCCCAGTCCCTGCTGCAGTCTACATGTTGACTTTTCCTACCTTTCCACCCCCCCAGATAATCTGCAAGTCTTTCAAACTTTATGTAGAATAACAAGCATTTCCTCTCACCATCCAGTCTTGCCTCTGCTTGAGGGGCTCATGCCACTAACTGCCCTTCCCAGCCCATATACCTGGGCATCCTCCAGGAAGTCTCCCAACAAGCTGGACTTGCTTTGAAAGCTGCCTCCCAGCAGCTACCTTCTACTCCAGGTGAGCATTTCCAACACTATCCATTTCCAAGTCTCCCCCTCAGAAAGGTGTGTTCATTCTCCAGATAATCTACCAAATGCACATGTATCTCCCTCTCTGCAGCTCACAGCTCTGTTCACCTCACTGTACACCCCACATTCCTAGGGCTCCTCAGGCAAGGACTCACTGCTCTCTGCTCGCTGACTTCTGACCTCTGTTTAGTCTCCATAGCCCCTCTGCCTAATGCTGAGTCCTTCACCAGCTCCCTAACCAGGTTATAGCCACCGCTGCCCGGTGATGCCATACCCAGGTTCATCTCCACTTCGAGCCATTTCCGGAATCATCCTCTCTGGTATGCCCGTGGTCTGGGAGACCTGGGTAAAGGGTCTTCCATAATATAGAGAGGGCACTGAAGATTTATATGCACAACTTGCTGCTGTCCTCCAGTCCTTCTGAGGAGCTTGCTTTTCTTTTAAATGGGACTGTGCCCGAACCAAAGGATATGCGAATCACAATAGCAAACACCTAGTGAACTAGCACCTGGCTAAGAGCTTTTTACACATTATTTACCCCTCACGGTGCCCAGAGAAACAGACTATACTATTCTCACCATTTAATAGAGGTTCAGCCAGGTTAAGCACCTGGCCTCTCCTGCCTCCCCCAGGCAGCCTCTCTGAGGCCTCTCAGCACAGTGAAGTGCCCCTCCTCATGGTTTCAGTTACAACTGTAGACCATCACCAACTGATGGTCTCAGACATATGCTTGTAAACTCGGTCCTGTTACTGCATCTAGCATATAGCTACAGTGCATAGCATACTTTGTATGGGTGTCGAATAACCCCGGTCAGTGGTAGACCGTGGATACCAGCTCTTGACACCTTCTCAGTTACCTGGGGCATGCTCAGCACAGGGCCCGGCACATATTAGGCACTGACTAGTAGTAGTGGGGGAGGAAGAAGATGAGAATTTAAAAACGGCGATTTCCCGAAGCTGTCTCCCCGCAGACTGAGCTAGCCTCAGGGGCAGGAGCCTCAGTCCAGGGCCGGTTCCAGCTGACTTCGCCAAATTTTGAAAATAAACGTGGACAACAGAAATCAGAAAAGGAAATCCAAAGTCTCTTTTTCTTATGTTTCTTTTTCTTATGTTGGTATTCCCTCTGCTGTCATCTCAGACAGAGGGACCAGCGTCCTCCCCATCCCAGCTGCAGACCCTAACCAGAAAGAGCAGAGGAGCCTAGATGCTGGCTTGCCCCTGCCACTCACTCCTCTGCCAAGAGAACCCACTGGGAGTGACCTGGGCTCTCAACTGGGTGTGTTTTGTTTTGTTTTGTTTTAATCGCTGGTCCTGGTATCTCTCTTCCAGACTGCGCAGTGGATTGTGAGCTGTGGGTCAGGGATGCACCACCTCAGCAGGACTTTCTTTGCCAGACTGTTCTTGACCGCTCTGGGTTTCCGGACCGGGCCTGAGCCACCAAGAAGAGCCATACCAGGGAGTCTTCAGTACTCGCAGTTCTGATCCCCTCTGCTCATGACCCATTCCCCAACTCTAACTGGGTGCTGGCGGCCCCAGTTTAGGGCACCGGCTACCTGTGTTGTCCCTACAAGCCACTTGGGAACTTAAGACGGATGTTTCTGTGGCCCCCTTCACCGGGTGCCAGCAAAGTCAGCTCTGTGCAAGGATCTAAGAGAAAAGCAGACTCACAGGGGTCGTGGAGGGGAGATCTCGACGCTACTCTTCAGGACAGGTTTCCTCCTCCGTAAAATAGGGCAACAGGGCATACTTCACTGAGGGTAAACTACAAATAGCCATCTAGTAACTCGCGAGGCCCAGATATTCTTAGGAATGATCTGGGGGCTTCCCTGCTTGAATTTGACCTGAACACCAGAGGCGGCAATCTAAGAGCTTCAGGGGACCCAGTGTAGGTCACTCCTGAGACCAGGGGAGCCTGCAGATCTGAGCTTCTCCTTCTTGGCTGCCTGCGGTCCGGCTGAAACCTGGGGTGGCGGTGGGAGCTAGGCCTAGAGGTCTTGGGAAAGTCGTAGTGTGAGAGGAGGCAAGACTGGAGCGTGCTTGCTGGAGCGGTTTGCTTACTGGGAGCTCCTGCGCATTTTCTCCCTCGTTCCTCCAATTTCCCGACTTCCCCCTTTCCCTTAACCCCTCCGCTTTTATTCTTTCTCTGGACTCATCTCTTTCTTGCCCGCAACTTTCTTCTCTCACTCCCCCCCCCCCCGCCTTCCATCTCATCGTCACTCTCACACTTTTATAACCAAACAGCCAAACCCCCTTTCCAATTAAAGTGGAATTAGGCAACTCAATCAAATTAGTTCCCTATTAAAGCCCTTCTTTATTAAACCGTTTTCTTGTCCTGCTATTAAGTTTCACCGCCTGGCGGAACTCGAGCCGGCCCCAGAAGTTTACCTTGGGATGTCTCTGGGCCCAGTCTAGGGGAGGGGGCACCCTGTTTCCTGGAGTGCAGGAGTGACCCTGCGGAGAGCAGGAGGGAGGGGTGTGAAGTCGGAGGCGAGGGTCGGCGGAGGGGCAGCTAATTCGCAAAAGGGGTGTGCGGTGGCTTCCTCGCTGCCACTCTCAGTACACTACTCCGGGAGAAAGTGGTATCCCATGACCCCCAAATAACTCGCAGACCACAGAAATGTCGAAGGGTGCCCCCCCTCACCCCCAGGCCAGCGCCCTCATCTGCAAAGCCAAAGCCATTAGTGCACTGCGGCCCGGGCCACAGCTAGGTCTGTTCCGGAAAGAGATCGAGGCCGAGCCGGCAACCAGCGAGGTGGGGGGGGGGGCATGATGGGGGAGCCGGAGGATCTGTGTGCTGTGCTGGAACCTTCCCGGGAAGGACCCGGTGCGGACACCTGAGGAGATGGAGGAGCCCATGGCTCCGGCCGCGTGGCGGGAACCTGCGCCTGGCTAGGGCGCCAGGTCAGCACGCTCACCACGCGTCGTGGAGCCTCTTCTGAAGTTCCCAGACCGACAACACCCCACCCCGTCCCCTCCGCTGCAGCTGTCCCAGGCACCGCCCAGGCTTCCTGTCTGGGTCCCTCCAGGGTCGGGGCAATGGAGCAGTCTGAAGCTCCCCAGCATCTCAGCCCCAGTGGGAAATCAAAAGCTTTTCTTCCCAGCCGCCTGGGGAGCGGAACGGGATTCGAGCGTTGCTTTATTTAGAAAATAACATTTATTTCTAGCTCATACCTATGCAAAGGAAAGCACAAAGTGAGCAGTTCTCCGCAGCGTCGCTCGCTGGCGAGTCCCGGAGCTTCTGGTTCTGTCACCGGACGCTCTATTCGTGCTCCAGCGTGGCCAGGACTGATCCAAAGCACAGTCGCAGGCCCGAGGCGACGGGCGGGCAGGGTTCCTCCCCAGCGTACAGTAGATTTCATCTATAAAACCCGATACGTACAATGCGCGAATAGTCCAATTTTCCCATTTTGTCCTTTTTTTTGCTTTGCTTTTGAATGTTTTTCACGTTAATACCGAGGTCACCTACAGATTACAATTAATAACTTAGAATTCCATTTTATAACATTATACACTGGCTTGTATATATATATGTATAGATTATATATAGATTTATACATATATAAAAACACACTGCACCAAGGAAACCCATGCTTGTCGGCATAAGCAACAAAGAGAGCGACAAATACCGCAACGAGGAAAGTGCACCTTAGAACGTTTCCTTTTTTTTTTTTTTTTACAATTGATATCGATATATATGCGTGTCCCAAAGACTCAACTCAGTGCCAAGAGATGTATGCATCCTAAATTTGTATTTGTTGGAGCAGATTTTTTTTTTTTAAATGAAAGGGGAGTGGGTACTGGAGGACACACAACAGGTTGATTTGTCCTGCCATCCACCTGAGCGCGGGCTGGCCAGGCGAGCAGAGCAGAGGGAGCAGCAGGGGCAGGCATGGCCACAGCCGCCCTCGGGATTCTCAGAAATCCCAGGCCTTTTGACAACAAGGCGAGCAGGCTTGGGGGAAGGTGGCCCGAGGCTGGATGAGGACCCACACCACAAGGCCCCTCTGAGGATACCTGGCCGTCATTAGCCGAGGTGCTCCCACCCACTCTTCAAAACGAATCCCAAAGCCAACTCTGAATGGAGGGCGTAGGACAGGGAGAGGAGGGGCCGTGGCTGGTGAGCGGGGAGTCAGCGTTTAGGGGCCTACGGCTGCGGGGCCCCGCGTCCTACTGCTTCTCTGGGGTGCCATTGACCATGGGCCCATACAGCCCGCTCCCATAGCCGGGCTCCTTGTGCACCGCGGCGGCGGCGGCGGCCGAGCGGTCGCGCATGAGGTCGCTGAAGGCGTAGTCCATGGGCGGGCGGAAGCCGAGCGTGGGCACCAGGCCGGCGGTGGAGTAGGGCGCCATGAAGGCCAGGCCGCGGCTGTGGGCCGCCGCCGCCGAGTAAGCCAGGCGCAGCGGGCTCAGGCCTAGCGGCGCGCCCAAGGGATAGGCGCCCGCGTCGGCGCCGAAGTGGCTGGCGTTGGGCTGCAGCGGCGAGAAGGCCGAGCGGCTGCTGAGCGAGCCCAGCGCGCCCGGCGTCATGGCCCCGGCCAGCAAGGGTCTGTGGTGCGGGGGCGCAGCGGGCCCGCTCTGCAGCGGAGCCGGCAGCCCGGGACCCCCGGCGGCTGTGGCGTCCACGCGCCCGGGCCACGCGTCGTCCACCGCTACGGCCGCGCTCACCGTGGCCTTCTCCAGCGGCGCGCCGGGGCCCAGGCCGGCCGCCAGGCCTCCGCGGTGGTGGTTCAGCACCTGCTCGATGGCCTGCACCACGTCGCCGCCGCAGCCCTGCAGCACCAGCTCCAGGACGCCTCTCCGGTGGCCCGGGAAGACGCGCGTCAAGATGTCCAGCGGCGTCCGCTGCCGCGGACCCGGGCCGCCACCCAGCCCCGGAGTCGGTGCGGCCTCCGCCTCTTCTTTGTCAGCCTCTGACCCGGATTCGGAACCCAGGGGGCTGGAGGAGCCGGGGCTGTCTTCCTCGCCGCCACCGCCAGGCCCCGCGCTACCAGGACAGCTGCCACCTGCATCCTTAGAGGCCCGAGCCAGAGGCGACCCCGAAAAGGATTCGCCATCTCCGTTCTCTGAACCCGAGCCGGGTCGCACCTCTGGGGATGAGGTCCCGGGACCGGAGTCCGCGCCGTCGGGCGACAAGGGTTTCCCAGGCTGCGGCTGCGGACTATCGGGGCGGCCGGCCTGAAGCAGCGTCTTGGGAAACAGATCAAACTTCTGCAACTTGGCCTCTGAGGGAAAAACGGAGACGCGAGGAGAGGTTAAGAACACTGTACCCACCACACGTAGGCTTGCCGAATGCAAGTTTCGTCTCATTCTCAACTTCCAAACTATCCTTGACTGGGCTCCAGTGCTGCGATTTTATTTTTATAAAAACCTCTCTCTCTCTCTCTCTCTCTCTCTCTCTCTCTCTCTCTCTCTCTCTCTCTCTCTCTCTGCTCTGCTCTTAGACTCACACTTTTTAGCCTATATCCAGAACCCCAACCCCCTGGCACCCTGAAAACTTTATGGTCAGTGAATTCTTCCCACACCTGTGTCCAACAGCATTCTCTTCTCATTTCCATCCGGCTCTAGAGGAGTGGTCTGGTTAAGGTTCAAATCAGAGCAAACAGAACCTCTACACAGTGAGTGGACCACACTACTCCACTCAGATTTCCAAAGCCAACCCTAAGATCATAGTCTGGAAGAGCGGACACCTTGGGGTACTAGGTATTAATCCTTTCTACAAACAAGTTACATCCTTTTTTTTCTAATCTACATTTTTCAAAATTATGACCGAAGACATTCCCTTCTTCCATTCTGAAAGCCGACCCCATTCCATGGCCCGAGCCTAACTATCTCCCTCACAGAACAACCTTCTAGAATCCACAAAGTAATGGGCTTATGCTGAGTGTAGACAGAGCAAGGGAAAGGGGCCCAGGAAAAAGGAAAACGTGCCAACCATGAGCAAATCGGCATGTGTTGTGGGCAAAGAAGTCAGAACCAAGGGAACACAGCGAATGTTTATCCAAAATGCCCTAGGAACCGGAGGAAAGGAATCTTGCTGAGCAATGAAAGAGGGCGTCTCCGGTACTCAGGAAAGCAATGCGGATTAGGAGGATTGCTGCGGGTCCTTTCACAAGAGTTGGGAAGGAAAGCCCGAGGTGGCCTGTGAGAGCTCAGAGCAGAATGGATCTGTGGCTTCCGGCTGCCTGGGAGGAGACCCAAGCAAAATGAGTTGGGCACTAACTAAAGACCTGCCCTTTAGCAAGAGTACTGCAAAAGTGTTGCCTTGGGGCCTGAGGTGAGGGAGAGGAATAAAGAGTAAAACTGCAGACAGGTCAGAGAGTTTATGGGAGGGTGTAGAAGCTGTGTGGGTGGTGAGCTACAGTAAGTAGGCAGAACCTCTGGGGAAGGGAGCTGTAGTCTGTCACTAAGGAAATAAGCCACTAGCGCAGGGTTCTGGGCTCCTCCTTCTAGACCCCATCCCCCACCCCACCCCCAGCATGACCGCGCTCTCACCTGCGCCCCCTGCGCCCCCTGCACTCCCCGCGGGCGCTCCAGCTCCGGGCCCCCCGCCGTCGGTGGCGCACACTGAGCCAAAGACTTCGTAAGCGGGCCGCGGTGGGATGATGCCGTTGGCGGCGGCCAGCGCCAGGCCCTCGGCAGTGCCGTACAGCAGTTGCAACTCGCGCGCCTCGTTCTCCTCCTGCGCCTGCTGCCTGCGCAACGCCACCTGTGCCGCCATGACGCGCTGGCGCTCGGCGATGAGCGTGCATTTGGCACACAGGCAGTCCTTCCAGCGGCAATAGCGCTTGTGGCCCTTGAGTGCCGACACCACTCCGTGGTTGCGGCAGCGCGCGCATTTGGGGGTCCGCGGGTACTTCTCGGCTGCCCTCAACAGCAGGGGCGGCGCCCGCAGCAAGCCCCCGGCCACGCTCACTGGTAACGATGCTGCGGCAGCCGCCGCCGCGGCCACCGATGCCACTGATGCCACGGGAGGTCCCGTCGCTGTCGCTGCTGCTGTTGCCGCGCCGGGCACGCTGGGCAGCTCCGAGCGCAGCTCCATGGCTGGACCTGGCGTGGGAAAAGTGGGGAAACCTGAGTGAGGACAGTACTCTGAGCCAGACTGCTTGCAGAATCCAAAATTTAGGACAACTTTGGATATACAAGTTTGGTTAGTAGCTGGCAAGTTGCTGGAAAGGTGCATTCGAAACCTCCTTGTAAAGACTCCCTCCCCTCTCCCCAATTCCCCTCATTGATGTTGTTATTATATCCGATTTAAATGCCAGGTGTAAGATTTCGTTTGAATCAGTAGTTCCTCCAAGGGGGAGGGGGGAGACAAAGTTTGGAAGTCATTGGTTCAGTTGAAAGTAAGGAGGATTTGTAAAGAAAATATTATGCACAACGCTTAGGTTAATTGGGGTGAGATGAGAACGGAGAAATGTGTGCCTGAAAGGGTCTCAGATTACAGAGAAAACGTGGGACCAACAAGCTGATGTCAAAGGCAAAGCAAAAAGACACGGAGGAAAGAAAAACCGTTCAGTTTTGGTGGAAGGGTAAAGAGGAGAGAAATGAAGAGGCGAGGTGTGGGGTTGAGCAGGCTGGATTAGTCTTGTTTGTTGCCTTTAATGCGGGAACAGCGGGATTCGGGAGAAAACTGAAAAACTTATGTCCTATTACAAGTAGTGTGAGAACTAGAAGACAAATGTAGAGGCAAAAGTTCGGCTTATGGCCCTGGGACCCATAAAGAATGATCTCAGGACATGCGATGGTCTGAACCTCCAAAAGGTGGGAGGAAATATAGACGTGGAACCGAGTTTACGAGAGCTGAGAGGCATTAAAGAGAAAACCCACCAGAAAAAAACAACTTTCTTTGGATAGGCCATCTAGCGCAAAAATTAGTTTGAAATGCAAGGAAAACATCCCAAACTGCTGAGGCGGTGACCCGGACCCAGGTCCACGGACAGCGACAGTGATAAATAGGAAAAACTCTACTGCAGAAGGTAGGGTGGGGATAGGGAGAGACCTGTGGCGTGGAGTTTAGACCTTTAGTCTGGAGAAGTCGAGAAGGAAGGTAAATCCTGGAAAAGTTAGGCTTTGCAGGACCTCCTTTTCCCTCAACCCTTCCTACCCAACCCCCACCCCTCCCAGTTTGGGGACCCACTCCTCAGACACGCCCTCCTCATTCTGGGACCCCTTGGGACCCCGCTCCAGCGCAAGTTCCAGAGTTTGGGTCTTCGGGCTAGGGTCCTGGGACTTGCACTCCCCAGCAGGCCTCAGGGAAGCCAGGCAGTGGCCTCCGAAACTGACCCTGAAGGGACAGGACAGTCCCACCTGCGCCGCGACTGCCGAGGCCCAGCAGGCCCAGCTCCTGGCTTCCCTGCGGCCTCCACTACCCCCGCCACCCCGCCTGGGGCCCCGCCAGAGCCGGGCCCCGCCGCTGGGGTCTCCGTCTGAGAATCCCACACTTCAGTGTGCGCCTGGGCCTCTACCCCCAGCCCCGCAGGCGCGCAGTCCCCAAGGCCCTCGGGGCCTAGGCCTCGCCCTCTGGGGCCGCCGGCCGGGTCGCCTCCCCTGCCCTGCGGCCGGCCCTCTACTACCTGCCTCGGGCTCCGGGCTCCTCCTCCGCCGGCGCTGCGCGCACCGCCCAGCTCTGCCGGCGCCGCCGCTCTCTCGGCCTCTTCCCCTTGCCCCCGGCCCCTTATCTGACCACGTCACCCTCCTTCAGCCACCATGTCCGAACTTCCGGACCCGCCCCCCGCGCTTGGGAACGCAGCAGCCCACCACTCCGGAGGGGACTCGGGGCCGGGGACCCGTCCCGGGGCCGGCTGCTTGGAACCCTCGTCCCCTGGGTGCGCTCCGGACGCTGCGCTCAATCCGGGCCTGGAAGCCCGGCGCTGCCAGCTCTCAATGAGCCGCTCGCCCGCTCTATTGTTGCTCCTCAGGGCTCCATTAGACAGAATTGGACAACAATGTGGCGCCTGCCATTGGCCAGGGGAGGCAGTCGGCGCTCTGATTGGCCGGGCCCGCGCCCGGGGAGCCCCTCATTCTACAGTGTCCGAAAGATTCGAAACTCCGAACGCTCCGCGGAGTGCCTGCGGGGAGGGAGGGAGGGGGCGCCAGGGAAGGAGCGCGCGAGGAGGAGCGTTGCAAATGTCGTGACAAGAAGTTTCCGTGCGCCCGAGAGCGTGTGAATTGCTCCTAATTACCGTGTCCGGTGCGCCTCTCCGCGTAGACCTGTGTAACCCCTCCACTTCTGGGGCGCCCGCTCCGCTGCGCCACTCAGCCTTGGCCCGGGGCGCTTGGCAAGGCTGAGCTTCCCCAGTGGCCCTGGAGGCCTGGGGCGGGACCGGGGCAGGTGACAATTCAATTACCGCTGTCGGAGTGGGAGTGGAACCCGGGTGCCGGGGTGGGGGAGGGAGGGCGTTCACCGCAGACTTGCCAAGACGGTTTTGCTGGCTTCCCTCTGACAGGGTCGGTGTGCGCCCAAGTCCGACGGGCTCTGAGGTAGTTGAGAGCCGGTTTGCTCCCCTCCCCCTCCCCTGCCACCTTGAGTGCTTACTTCCGGCGTTCTCTAAATCCCGACACCGTGGACAGCACGGAGGGTAAGTGTAATTGGTAAAGATTTGCGTTTTTAAGCGAGGAACCCAGAGGACGAACGAAGGTCCATGCGCCCCTGCCTCTCCTGTCCCCGCGTCCCAGCCCTGTCCCCTGAACCCCTGTGCCCTTCCCTTTCTTCACGTCTCCGCATCTCGATCCCCTTTTTGTAGTGGTGGTGCTGGAACCCTTTTTGTCGTTGTCTGAAATTAACGAAGTTTACTTGTAAGTTTTTTTTTTAACTGTTACTTTTTTAAAACAACAACAAAAAAAACAAATTAAAAAAAAAAGCAGCCGCTCCGCCTCCGCAGATGCTCTAGGACGCTGGATGCACCGGCCAGTCGGTTGGGCCACAAGGCCACAAGACTTCCTGGGGGGCGGGGGGCCCTGGACCAGCTTTCACTTGGCCTTCACCGACCTTTGCTGACGTCACGGCCCCAGAACCGGTTCGGTCTGCAGAGAAGGTAACAGGTTCGAATTTTGTATGCTTTCCTAGTTATTCGTAGTTCCATTCGGAACAGACTTCGAAGTCTTCGGGCGGCAGCGCCCTCGGATTCTCTAGCTCCGACTCTCCCTCTGCCTTTGCGGCCAACATTCTGTTACTCTCTCTCTTTTTTTTTTCTTTCTACTTTTCTCTCTTCTTTAGAGTAAAGAATATTCGTTTAAATGAAAAGGGATGATATCTCATTTCGTCTCCGCTCCCTACCATGCACTTTTGCATTGCTTTTTAGAAGATCCTGGGCCTTGGGAGTCGTGTCCATGCCAACACAGATGCACACACCTGTTAGGTGCACGGAGCTTGCCTCGATTCGCAGCCCCTCCCGCCAGGCGGACTCGCAGCTGGGGCAGGAGGAAGGCGAGATCAGCAGGATACCATTGCAGAACTACTTGCCGCCTGCGAAGGTCAGGATGCGCCCAGTCCAAGAAGCCAACTGAGGATCCTACTTGAGGAGACCTGAGGGGGCGATGAGCCTCAGAAACTGACAGACAACTTCCAGAAAGTTCGCTAGGCCCGACTCAAGGGAGCTTGGACAAGAACAGTATAGAACAGCAATCTGGTTGCCGGCTACTGAGAAAGTTCCTTCCCTGGAGCCTGAGAAAAGGTTTGGTAGGGAGTTAAGAGTTTCCAGATGCAGGTGGAGTGAGAGTACCATAAAGTTCTCGGCGTTAGGCGCTCAAGACCCTCTCCCCCACTCCACACCTCTTAAAATTTCCACGGGTCAGACGATAGAGTATCTCTAGCTTTCCCAGAGCACTGGCCTGCTGGAGGGTGGGATTCCACGCACACACGCCTGCTTTTAGAGTTTTTTTTTTTTTTGACAGTTTTGCAGAATTCTTTTTAAACCCCCGAACGAAAAAACCTACCCAGATCTGCTTAGTTTTCTGAGAAGCTGTGACCTAAATACCCTCCTCGCGCTTGAGGCCAGACCACAGTGAGTCCTGCCATTTAGCCAACGATTTCAGGAACCCAAACTCTTGGATGGACCTGGATTGAACCACCTTATCTTTAAGAGCAGGAAGTATTGCATCCCAGGACACATCGCCCAGGCCAAACCACAGGGTGTCTCCCCTCTTCGGGTGCTATTTCTTCAAGTTGGTATCTCCACAGGTCTGAGACGCCAAGCTCTCTTTTCAAAAGCGGAGGTTGGTGGTAGTCATGTAAAGATTGTTAGAGGGAAGCAGAAAAAAACCCATTGTGGCCTGAGATAACCGTGCCCACACCGATGGGATGCCTCTGCCCAGTTTCCCAGGCCACTCATGCTGGCTGTTAGTTTCTGCTGGTATGAGCAGCTGCCCAGAAGGGAGAGGACTGGAAGTGATGGTCCAGCTGAGCCGCTAGCCTCAGAGAGAGTATGCCCAGGTTGAGGCAACGAACAAGTCCCCCTTTCCCTCCTCCCCACACTAACACAACACTACCCTTGTGGACTCACTGCAAGGTTTGGGCACACTTTCATGTACACATGAAGTGGACACCCACGGTGGGCGCGCTCACCTCTGATGCTGCCCTCACACCCAAGGGACTCTTTGAAAAAATTTGGCCTCACTGTATGCTCCCATAAGCATGCTGGCCTGCAGGCACAACCACTTGGTGAGTGACCTCAAACCCAGCCTTCTGCAGAGTCCCTCATGTGTCTGCACCCTCAACATTGAACATATCTTCAGGCACGGGACCCTAACCCTAACCCTTTGCGGTCCGCTGGGACTGTGGCAGAGGAAACCAAACCCAAGACCTCTGTTCCAAATGAAGTGGTTGGCAGCGAGGGCGCAACCCAGACTTGCAGAAGTGTCCTCAGCTCAGAATCATCTGCCGGCCGGGCCGTTGGGGCAGGCGGCGAGTGCTTGTAGCCAAGAAATCCTCCACACCCTCATTCCAAACCCACTCAGAGCCACTACAAAGCATAGGCCCAGAGGGAAGGCCCAGAGGGAAGGCCCAGGTGGGGAACCTGGGGTTGGGGTCGAGAATAAGAATTCTGTACCACTGACTAGGAGAAGGGCTGGGGGCATCAATGGGGGGCCTGGGAAGCGTTGACTTTTGCGCTGTTTGCCCGCGGCCTCGGAGCAAGCAGACGCCATCTGTTTGCCGGCTGCGACGCGTCCCGTTTAATTACCCTCCCGGCAGCCTAATAGAGATGATATTAAACTAAATCTTTTTGACATTAAAAGTAATTATCCCCAAACCGGTGGCTCTGGGACGGATTCGCCCCTCCCGCACAGACCCCTTTCCCACCGCTCTGGATTCCGTTAGTTTGGCTGAAACTCTTCACCTGGGAAGCGGCTGGGGGGAAGAAGGCGCCTTGGGAGACAGCGTCTCTGAAGGCACACGTGCCTGACACGCGTTTTGCGCACCATAGTGGCTCCTGTTCCTGCGTGGACACCAGCACAGGAGACATTTTTCTCCGATTTTGTTGATTAAGACTCTCAGTCATGAGTGTCCAGTGCGAATGGGGAGGAAGGCAGCCTGGTTTGCTGTCTCTGTCTCCATTGAATTGGCCCTTGATCTGGCCTAGGTTAGGGCCAAGAAAAAGGCAGAACTTTGGAGTTAGGAAACAAAACAAACAACAGACTACACCACCCGCTGTGGCTCTAGGCTTTTGCGTGTTCTTCCTGTGAGCGCCTTGCACTTTCCCTGCAATGACTTATGAAGTCCCACCTTCCTATTTTGGGTCCTATTATCTCGCTTCTCAGCTGGAAGGCGATACAGAGGAACACAAATTTCAACCTGGAGTTCCCAACCCTAGCCAATGGTCTGCAAAGTTCTGGGTCCCAGCTCAAGCTCCCCTCTGCATCTGGGGTCTGATCATTGGTGCTTAGCTTCTTTGGGAAAAGAGCATGGGGCGCCTTACACAAGGAGCAGAGGTGAAGGGCCAGGAAGGAGGGGCCAAGGGACCACACTGGTGCAGGAGGTGCCAACACCAAGCTCCTGCCATAGCCACAGATAGCCACAGTCGCTGCCCTCCTTGGACAAGCCTGCAAGGGAATAGGGGTTGTGCAAGGTTTCAAGGCTTTCTGTTTCAAAGTGTCTCCAGTGTTCCACACACTGCTAAATTGTAGGTGTGGCCTGCTACTTAGCACACAGTGCAAGGCCTACTTCAAACCTGAGCTGGGGAGGTAACATGCCTGGAGACATCGTGCAGCTCTACCTTAAGGGGGGAAAAATATCAGATCCAGTGTTCAGTCTAAGGCCTTTGTTTCCTCTCCTCAATTCTGAAGATTTATATGGGGCTTAGGGGGTTCTTTGGGGTTTGATTTCATTAAATTTGCCAGTTACTCAAGAAAAACCGAGAATCTGGTTTCTCATGTTGAGTTCCTAGTATGTGCCAGGCTCTGAGGACCAAAGATGGATTACTTGTAATGTATTCTTACCGAGTTCACTGGTCAACTAGGCACAGGGTCACCCACTGTTGACTATTGGTGAGTGGGTATGGAAGGGGCTTCCTGAAGGGACCCTTGATGTGAGCTTCAGGTTTCCCAAATGGAAGTTGCCAGTGCCTGTTCTCATAAAGTAAGCATCTTAGAAACATTTTAGAAAATTTAGCAGAATATATTTGATACATATTTTTGGAAACTTTCTATGTGATCATTTACAAAAATATGCATTTTGTTTATAAGTATAAGCATTTTTCATGTTAATCATAACATACAA